CACACACACACACACACACACACACACACACACACACACACACACACACACACACACACGTGTGCATGCGCTCATGTCAGTGGAAATAGGTTGATACCCACTTGATACCCAAGTAGTTTCATGGGCTACATAAATGTGTCATGATGACTTGATTTGGAGTGTCCTGTTTTACAAGTGAACTTTTCAGTAGAGACTTAGGGGTATAATACAGAATAACAACTACCAGAAGTCTAATCACTTATTCTAATTGGTATGTACTATGTGTAGTAACTATGGCAACAGCCTTGAGTATTGATACAGTGAGTTGACTTAACTGCTGCTACTGTATACATCCAATATAAGCCTCCAAATGCTGTAAATCTGCAGCGGGCCATATCGGAAACACTATAACAGTGGTTACCATAACGTCTTTCTCTCTGCATGTGCCCCAAAAATCTACCGAACTCGTTAGCGGCTCAGTAGTAGAAAACCGATGTTTTTGTGACCAGGAGCCACCAGATTTGTTTCCACCAGCACCCTGACAGAGTGTCATTCCCTTGGCAAGTTGCCTCTGGCCAGTCAAGGAGACCTTGCAGTACTTGGCTTGTATACACCCACTGAGCTCCATTACAGAGCCCCGTATTCACTAAAGCTGAGATGGAGATCTCTATAAGGTACCGAGATACAGACAGCGTCTTTGTGCAGCTTCTTTTCCAGCTGTAAAATCTGATTTTGTTATCAGGGCGTGCCTATTCATGCGTTATGAGTGAGGAACTTTCATAGATAGTGGAAGAGGAATTGTTTGAGAAGGTACCGTTTTTCCTCTTTACTCTCCTGAAGCGTGTTTAGCTGTCGGTAAATGGTGTTACAGGATGTCGGTCGTGATTTTTGTTGGCATTACATTCTTGAAGATTGGATTCCTGTTACGGATCACATGAAAATGTTGCTAATTCAGTTGGCATTGGGCTACTGAGTTGGCTGGATGAGAGAGGGGAAAAAGCGAGCATGTAAGCTCATGTGTATAAATACACACGTGTTTTCAGCCTTTTTTTTGTTGTTTTGCTTTCAGTTGCATAGGCCAGAAAAAGCCTGCAGGACTTCCTTACTCAGTGAGGCAGATTTTTCCAGTGATGACTAAAATTTTCTGTTTAGGGCACCCTACTTCCTCTTCATTAGACTTGTGGCTGAGTTTGGATCTACAATATAATGTGTCAGTGTGTGTGTGTGTGTGTGTTTGTGCACGTGTTTGTGCTTGTTTGCAGCGGCACTTCAATCTTGGCTTATGCAGAAACAACTCAGCAGGTTACATCTGCCGTGTATAGAGATCTATTTATTTTATATGAGACCATCATGTTTGCGGTTTTGGGGATCATAAAAAAACAAGTTAACCACCAGTTCATCTGCTGATATACCAGTATTTCTCAGGTGACACATTTAATGCAATTGGCTTGAGAAAGTGCAAGGCAGACCCTCGTGATTTCATCGTTTTTTCCACAGCGCATGCCACAGACCCGGCTCATTTCCTGAAGCTGGTAGAATAGGTGGACACGAGCCAGTGTTTAATTTTACTGCAGCTGCTTTGGCTATACCCACAGAACCTCTTGATGTCCAGCATCTCTGATAGTTCCTCACACTTTTTTCTTCTTCGTAATGTCTTGATGAATCCCATGTGTTTATATTTTGAAGATTAACAATTACAGAAATAAATGTGCAAATTGCTGTGGCTCTAAAAATACTTGGGTAACAGAAAATTGAAGGTTTGTGGAAAATGTAGGCATCTTTAATAGTTGTATTTTGCTTAATGTGATTCTAATGATGCTTTTTCATACTTTTGTTTTTAGAAGTCATTCATACCCAAGGACCCCTGGATGGCAGCCTCTATGCCAAAGTACGCAAAAAAGAATCTGTTGACGGAGTAGTCACATCGAACGGCCTTCCACCCTCTGCTATTGAACATGCTTTACCTGCGGTTGACCATGCCTTGTCTGTGAGCAGCGACTCAGGAAACTCTACTGCCTCTATCAAAACCGACCGAACTGATGAAGCAACAGCAGCCCCTCCGGCTTCCACAGTGAACCAGACACACATTCCTGTGGGTGAGGAGTTACCCTCGGTCCATCAACACGCTCCACCTGCCCAACAGTCTATCAGTCCGCAAGAGAAAAAGGAGCTAGAGCAGCTACTGAGTGGCTTGGAGGGGCCCATGCACAGACAGGCCTTCCTATCAGCTCCGGCATCCGCTGTTGGAGCGATGCTTCACCTGGTGCCCGCACAGGTCCATGTTAATGGACATGGTAACATTGACCGTGAGACCGACATTCTAGATGATGAGCTTCCTACCAGTCAAGAGGGCAACAGTGTTGACAGCCTTGGGACGTTCTCTTCCACAGATGGGCGGGCTACACCAGCTGATCTCTACTATCAGTCTGAGTCCATTATCAATGGTCAGGACCACGTGCCATATCTGGAGCGCAACGTCCCAGAAAAGCCTCTGGAAACCGTCCAACCACAGCTTGGCATATCTGGCAAGTCTGTCACGTTGCCCCACAGTGATTCTACCCCATTCTCTGGTAGTTACATGCCTACTCAGAATGGCAGTCTGTACCGCTCTCAGTCTTTTGGTGCAGAGTTAAAGTCAATGCCACAAGCTCCCACTCGCACCACTAGTAGCAGGGATGCCGTCCAGCGCGGTCTCAATGTTTGGCAGCGGTTCGGAGTGCCAGAAGAGCCAGTAACTGAAGGCCTCACTTTTAGTCCGCCTCCCACTGTTGCAACCATGCCCAGCCACCACAGCCTGCCACAGTTCCCTCATCGCCACAGCGCTTCGCAACAAGAGATTGAGCAATCAATTGAAACTCTTAATCTCCTTATGTTGGACCTGGAGCCAGGCCATTCGCTGGTGACAAAGTCCCAAAGTGCTCCATTGCGCGAAAACTCTGCTGTAGTGACCACACAGCCATCCTTTTCTCAGAACCAAACCAGGCCCTCCTACCTGCCTGATTCCACCATTCACACCCATTTTTCAGGCCCCATGTCCAGCCACTCATCACCGCCTGTGAAGCCTAGTACATCAGAACCTGCACCTGTCCAACGATCTCCGAGTTACACCTCTGGAACAGCTTCAACAAGTACTTCCTCACAAGCCTCCCCCACTGTAAGTTGCCAGATCAAGACAGTCAGCACTTACCCACCAACAACGCTGCCCCAGTCTGCAGAGGCCTCTGAACCCCAGAAAAGCCCTAGTGCATCTTCAGCATCACCCCAGCCAAGAGACAGTGAGCCTGATGAGGTCTTTAACATTGAAGGTCTGGTGGCCCAAAGAGTGGCTGGTAAGATCACACAGTTTATTTTATGCTGACCCTTATATATGTATAGATTTTAAAACTTATGATAATGCTGCAGGTTGTATCTTCAAAGGTATTTGCTGTATATTATCTGACAGCTTTCTGTATTCTTTCTGGCATGTTAAAAAAAACCCCGTTAAAATCCATTTTTACTACAGATTGATGTATGGGCACTGAACTTGACCTACAGTACATTCAACTATGTGTGTCAATAATACTTACTTTCTATTTTTGTTCAGCCACGATAACCACGAAGTAGTCAATTTGATATGACATTCAACAAAAATGTCATATCAAAATTGCTTGAAGTGGCACAGTCTGTGGAAGTTTATACTCAAATACTTCAAAATAGCAAACTGTTGATGTCTTTGAAAGTAAAAAATAAGATGAGCTTTCTGTCTAAAAAGCGTTACTTTATTTTCTACTATTTGTCATAAAGCTCTTTAACTAGTTTTATATACAGCTGACAGATACCGTTTCTAAAATGTAGAGTCTGTTTTACTAAAGAGTTCAGCAGCTGACATTGTCTCTTTCTACAAAATTGTCCAAATTTCTACCATGAGGACTGGCACAGAACTGACTAGGCCAAACTCTCTTACTACAGCCCCCTGTTACAGTCATGTGAAAAGTTTTTACAGGACACTTTACAGTCCTAAATAAATGCCCCCTTACTGCTTCTATAGGAAATTAGGGGGTAGAACATCACTGCATGTCGTGATTTTACAAAAGTTGCATCTAAACAAACAACAAGACTTCTAGCACAATGTCCTTTGGACGGATGTTTGGCCATGATGCACGGCAGCATGTCGAGCAAAAACCAACAAAAGCTTCATACCATTTATGAAGCACAGTGGCGGATGACTTTGGCTTGTTTTGCACCCACAGAACCTTTGGAATCATGATTGAACTCCTGTAGTGAGACCTTAAGAGGGCTGTGCAAGAATGAATTCCTGTAAACGTCAATGAACTAAAGCAGGCCAAAATTCCTCCACAATGAAGTGTGAGACTAATGAACTCACACAGTAAATAATTACTTAAACCTATTGCTGCTAAAGGTGGGTCTAGATATTACTTAATCGCGGGCTGTAGTTAGTTTTTTACAGGACATCAAGGAGTCTGATGGAAACTCATTCACATGACCGTCACTGTACATTTAGTTCATAATTGGCAGCAAATGTAGAATAATGTAGTGATGATTAGAGTTGATGCCATCATCTGTGCACTGTATACACATCTCTCTTGGAAAACACTGTTCAGCCCTTATCTCATTTCCTGCATGTCACATCATCAGTCCCCGTCACTCAGGCTCAAACAGGAAGGGTTCTCTCCAGTCCACCAGGTTGACTATCCCTAGATAAGCTTGGGAGACATCCTGCAGATCGGCAAGAAATTGAACAAAGTCAACATGACGAAGTGCGATAGCCATGACCTCAGATAGCGAACATGAGGCTTTCCAGAATCAACAATACTTCATTCTGCTGCCATTTGAATGTAGAACACTTTTTACATTAAGGAGCACAAAATGGTAGTTTTTGTTCTTGTAACATCAGGAATTAAAAAATACCTTTTACTTTCTTTAAAACAGAAATATACTTATGTAATTTGTTTGGGGACTGTGAAGGCAACATTGTGTTACCTCTGGGTTTTTTTAATGTGTGTGTGTGTGTGATTCACTCTTGTTTTCAGGAAAAAGCATCTTTTATACAAACAGAAAATGTCTGTTATCTCCTCGTTCTGCTGTTCTTATCAGACCCCTCATCCCCCATCTCCTTTTTTCAGTTTCCTCATCATTCTTCTTTCTTTCATGATTCATCTGTTTACCCCAGAGTACTCGGCTCGTGTCCAAAGTGTCATCCCCAGCATGACCTCTTCTCAGTCTGAGCACCGCCGTTCTCACTCCCTCTCGGGTTGGTTCTCCCATCCTGTCTGAAGGAACACTTCAAAAAAAGGAAAAAGAAAGAAAGGAGATCCCCTCTTCTTCTTCTTCTTTTGCAAGTGTTGCTTCAAACCGAGTCTGTATCTGCTTTGCCTTTGACTGATGTGGGCTTTGGTTTGCATTTTTAACCATTTTTCTTGTTTAATACTAGACTGCCCCCATCTGCTCATTTTGTCTTTTTATTCCACTTCCTCCCTTTTATACGTTTCTCTGTCATCATCAGGTTTGAGGTGCATCATCATCAAACTAACCACTGATTCCTTTCTTTGTACACGCTCACACTTCATCTATGTTTGTTCTGAGCTGCTGAGCTGTTTTCTTCTTCAAGGTTAGGGAATCGCCCCAACTGTGGTGTAAAAAGAAGGGGAAAAACCCCCTCAATTGGATAATGTTAAAGTTTCACAAGAACGACACAGGGGAAGCACAAAGGAGGCTCTGTCCCTTGCCAGGAGAGTGCATGTCACAAGATCCGTTTTGCCAAACTTGGGAAACAATACCGAGGCCAGGATACACTGGGCTCATTCAAGGCTGAGTTTTTTCTCTTGTGCTACTTTCAAGATTTACAAAGCCAGACAAAAGACACCGAATGTAAAAGAGGGACCACAGTCCTAGTTGGAAACATCACTAAAGTGCTATATGTCCCCTGAGAACTAGTGACCACAATGCAGACAGGATTGTTCTGTGTAAGGGGTCAGTCTGGCCTCTCCACCACAGACAGTAATATCCTTTGCAGTGATGCAACACTACATCACAGTTAAATGTTAAAATGATCTAGGATAGAACTGGAATAATCTCTGAGATCATATTTACAGCCATGACATTTATATACAACAAACTCCCAGAACTATTCACGCAAATGTCATGCAAAAGTGCAGATCATTAAGACGGCTCAGTTCTCTTATTGATCTGAACACTTTCCCAGTAATACAGTCTGCTCAGTCTGGCCTTAAATGCCCTTTCTTAGTTGCAGAGGTGCACATATGGAAACGGCGTTTTTCACTTTAAAAGAAAAGAAAAAGCACGCCACAGGATCACAGATCAAGTTTGTTTTTCGAATCAATGCCATGATATAGTTGGACTTTCAAAAGCTCAGAAATAGGAGATGAGAGAAAAAAAAAATCAGTTCAAGGGATTACCAGCAGCCCCAGCTGGAAACTATTAGCTGTCGCTAAGGCAACGGCATGGTGTTTGACAGTGCTCCGCTGTAGAGCAGTGTATCATGGGTACATCTGGTTGTCAGTTTCCAGCCTCGGTGTGATGGTGTGTTTCTGTTCTGGGGGTGTAGACTGCATACTTTTAAAGCTGTCTGGATGAAGATTTTGGCCAGTGCTGAAATATCTGAGGCATTCCACCTACGCCGGCACCGATTTCTGCCTTTTAAAATTGATGAATGACTTATATACATAAATTAATAACAGGCATTTGGAAAGTTCTATTCAGTTTTGGTGATAACTCACAGGAAATTCTTTTTAACATCTCAGGTTTTGGTAAAAGCAGTGCCTGATAACTTTAATCCCAACTGTCTGACTGCTACATCTCCAACTTTTCTCCTAAGATATTTGGCCAAATCTTTTTTGTCTCACTTCAAAGTGGAGCCGAGTGAAGGGAATATCAATATTTTTATTTTTCCACAACAGTCAGGCTTTCAAGATGTCCACAAAATCATCTGCCAGTGTTAGGATGAGAGAAGCGCTCGGTCACACCAGCGTTTCCCACAGAATCTGCAGCAGGGTGGTGCACGCTTTCTTATAACAATTAAGGAATTCTATATGCTGTATATATATATATACACACAGTCATTATTTTCTGTTGCAGCTTTTTGAGTGGACAGAGTCCAACTCCACCGTCTTGAATGACAGCTGGTAGTTTTTGTTTTGCGTTGCAGTCTCTGTGAACCTGTTGTACACCTGCTGCAGGTTCTGGGTTCTGGTTAGCTCACACCCGATTTCCAGAGCAGAAGATGATCTGCCAGCAGCTGCAGTGTAAAATGGTCCAGAAAAGGATGGCTCCAGTGGCTGATAGAACATGTACATAGGCTGCGAATAGTTGGGGCTCGCTGGTTAGTGCTGACTTTAAAAACGTAGCAAAAAAAAAAAAAGGGAGTAAACTTTATCTCCCTGTAAGGATATTCCGTCTGTACAAGGCATCTTTTCATTTAGGTCTGAATTAGAGGCATAAATAAACATAAAGGTAGAAGCAGGGGAAGAGTTGGTGACAAAATTTGAAACAAGATACTTGTTAAAAAGTGTAAACAGGCGCCTGAGAACAAGCACCATCACAGCATTTATAATCCGCCCACTACCCTCTTTGTTTCTTAATGTTTTTTTCCTTCTTTTCACTTCCTCCCATTAACCTCCATCTAGTTTCAAAGCACTGGGCACCCAGTGCTAATCTTTGGAACTGGCTTTTTCTGCTTTGGCCAGCATTTCAGGTATTGCTACCTCAATCCTTTGAGTCAGTGCTGAATATTAGCATACAAAAAGCCTCTTTACTCCAATCCTGTTTGTTTTATGCTGCTAGCTTTTCTCTCTGCCTCTCAGTTCAAATGAGATTAGGAAAAATCAGCTTATTGGCTGCTCTGAAGTTCAGCCAAAACATTCAGTTTGCACCAGCACATCAAAGAGTTTGTAACAGAACATTTTGTCCTAGTATTAAAGAATTGTTGCATAGAAGACGGGAGTATCATTCTGTGTGCCACATTTCCAACATTTTGTGGGTTTCTTCTGAATAACGCTGTTGACCTTCCGGCTTCTTCTTCTTCTGATGAGCAGCTAATCCGTTCTTAACTTTTTTTTTTGTATGTGCATGTTAAATTTGAAAGGACCACGGGCTCCTGGCGATGCTTTGCCTGGTTTGATTGTCTGCAAAACACACACAGTGGCCTGTGCATTGAGCACTAGCGATAGCTGACAACCATTAACATTCGGTGGCGTTGATGGAAGTGATGGAGTGAAGGCGGATAAAAGAGAAGCAGCAAGCTTTTGCCAAGTTGTAACACTCACTTGCTTTTCTTAGGCGTCCAGGCCCGTGTGTCATCCTTGGATGAGCCCACAGCTGCTCCCCGCCGTCGCATCACCAGCGAAGGCCAGAACCAGAACGGACCAGATGACAGTACGTCTCCTGATGTCCCACTTCGCTCTCCTATTCGGTGTGTTTCACCAGAGTTTGTCAACGCCATAGCGATGAACCCCGGTGGACGGCCAAAGGAGGTAGAAAACGCACATTTTAGAACTGCTTTTCACATTTTCTCTGCACCAGCGATGGCAGTTTCTTTTTTTCTTCTCATCTCATCTCTTTTCCTACTCCAGAAAAATATGCACAGCTATCGAGAGGCCTTTGAGGAGATGGAAGCAGGTCACATCAGTCCTACACCCACAGTTGGTGGTGAGGTGTTTCCCCAAACCCCTGCCTTCCCCGTCTCACCGCAAACCCCTTACTTCAACCTATGTAAGTCCCCCCTCCGGCTGACAGAGGGCACTGTGGAGCTCAGGTGTAATTACCTTTTCAAGATTTATATCCTGGAATTTAACAAATTATTATTTTTAGCCTTTTTTAATCCAGCACTGAACCTGCATTCTTTCTGATGGCCAGCAGATGGCGACTCTCCTGGTCGCAAAATGAACATATAGAATTCTGTGAGAGGATAACCCAACTTGACACTCGATCTATGACCTCAGTTAACACTGGATTGTTTATCTTCCCCACCAACTGTTTCAAATCAAATTCAGTAGGACACGAGGTTTGTTTAGCAAAGTATGCTCTCCAGTTACAGTAAAAAAGATAATAAAACAGGATAAGCTTTATTAGTGTTGACAAATGAGTTTGTAACTTGGACAAAAGAGTTTTTGACAAGAACTATGTAGACAAACCAGCATATAAGTTTGAAAGCATATCCACATACATCCATCTACCCCCTCTTAGTCTCTCACACACCCAACAAAAAAGGTCATGCATTACATAACAGTGTCTTAGCCAGCTCTGCCAATTACCTCATCCAGTTCTCTTGCGTATCTCCTCTTTGGGCACTCCCATAAAAATTAGTTATAAAACGCAGACACTGTATTTTTAACACTTATTTTGTGGCCGAAGATATTTCCTCCCACTTAAACTAGGAACACTGCTCAGGAACACGTCTCAGTCATACGGAGCTGCACATTTTTTTCACAAAGCAAACCTAAATGTTTGCGAAACAGGGAGAAAAAAAAATAGTTGGACTGGGTTTAAAAACATGAAGATGGGCCAGAAAACTTTTTTTCCTCCAGCTGTGCACAAACTGGTGTTAACTGGTTACCAGTTAACTAAGAACAGTTTTGCAAGTCCTTTGCAAAACCTGTTGAAAGCGCATGGTTGGCTAAATGATGAGCGCACGTGACATCGGATTTATTTCCCACCAAGCTGTCTTCTGAGTAGTGTGTCTTCAAATCACCTGTCCCTCCCTCGCTCTAAAGACACACACACACCAAAACCACTGATTAAAGGTGACACATCAGGGTCTCAAGTACAAAGAATTGATTAGGATTCTTTGGTAAGTGGAGGATGCACGGCTCTACCGGAGTTCCACTGTCCCACAACGTCAGCCATAACGACCCCCTCGCCCCCATTACCCGCCATGTACTACAATCCTGCACCGCTTTGGCATGAGAACCACACGAGAGCAGCACTTACAGTTAAAACTCTACAGATTAGGACATGCAGACTCAAACACACACACACAGCACAGCCATTATCATGAACTTTTACACTCTCTAGAGCTGCTGCTCTCAGTGTATATTGTTGTCAATTGTGTTTGGGGTCATGTTGCTGCCTTATTTCACTGCATTGCCTCCCTTCCCCTGTCAGTCTTACCCAGCTAGAGTGTCTTGATCTGATAATTCTGTTATCTTGATTTTATTTTAATTTGGGCTGGAGGGGAAAAAAGAGAAGTGGGCATTGCAAAAAAAAAAACAGATGTAAGATAGGTAATGTTTTGGAAAGACTCAACAGGAGTATTACATATTTGTTGTTAGAGTCACACAGGTCTAATGGCTAAAGCCTCAGAAGTAACATATTCCTCTTCTTATCTTTCCCTCCAGTGTCAGTACAGCAGAGACTGTCTAAGCTCGTGTTTTACCCCGTTACTGGTCACATGCATGTTTTGCCCCTCCATCAGAGCATGAGGCATGGGCACCTTCTAAACACTGCACTCGTGTGTGCTAATTGATGGAAATGCAATACTGTGTCTTGACAGCTTTTCACCTGTTAATTTAACATTAATAGGTTTAAACATTAAGTTAATTAGATTGCCTCATAATTTTCTAAAACCAGTGATGAGTTAGTGTTAAACTGTGTGAGCAGGTAGCAGCTGTCAAGAGGTCTGTAATGTACCATGGTGCGCGGTGATAAATGTCTGGTATCTCTTCAGGTCGCTCCCCTCCTGGTCTTGCCAAGACTCCACTGTCAGCCCTGGGTTTGAAGCCCCACAACCCAGCAGAAATCCTCCTCAATCAAACAGGCTCAGGTTGGTTGCAACAGTTTCAGATTCTGGTGATGCAAACACCTTTGGTTATCGATAAATGAGAGTCAAGTTGCCACTCCTTTCTAATGACGTATATAAATACAACTGAAGATCATTTTATAAGCATACATTTTAGTTCAGATGAGCTGAGAAACAGAAATAAAAGGAGTTTGGTTAAAAATGACAAGACAACATTTAACTGCTGCTAATATTTCTTTCCCTAAAGACACCAAACACTAAAGTTTCCAACCCCCTTGATACGTCTTGGGTTTTTTTTGTTTCTTTTACAACATTTTGTTCTTTGGTTTATCCCAATGATGCTTCACAGATGATGAAAGCAGTGAGAGTGAGGAAGGTAAGAGCTCCAGTATAATGCCACATATCATCATTCACTTTAACCCTCTCCACCCCATTTTTCTCAACATATTTAGTCTTTTTCCGTCCACGTGTCACATTCGGCAAAGCCATTCCCGTTTTTAGTTGCCATCAGAGTTAAGTAATAGTGTATGCTGCTTTTCGGAGTGGTCTTAAGTACCACTTTAGGCTATTATTTGCATTTTATCACCCTTATGGACAATAATGAGGCACCCCACCCTGGAAAATCAGAAACCCAGTATAGAGCTTTTATTTATTTAGGCGTGTCTTTCATATACAGCACCAAGAAGCTATGTGGAGTCTGTCGCCAAGTCAGCAGCGGCAGGACGAGAGCCATGCACATCACATAGAAGCCTTACTCCGCTGGGAGATGCTACAACCAAGCAGAGAAGTCAAAGTCCCACCACCACTCACACACTGAACCCACCTTTGTCCAGCAGCAGTCCCATACAGAGCTCACCGGGGTAAGATGGGCCTGTCTTATAGTCATGTTTAGCCTTCTCCTTGAGTACTTGTACTCCTCCGTGAGAAGCTATACTGCATTATTACGCACGCTTATTTAGTTCTCTTGCTTCTCTTTCAGCGATCACCCTGTAGCAGAGAGCAGTGTTAGCACTCCGTCCCAACCCACTACTGATTCCGGGTTCCGCTCCCAGCCTACAGAGAGTGCCTACCCCACTCCTACTCCATCATATCAAGCCTTGAATACCCCCACTTCATCCTACCTGGATTCTAGCTCTCCAACCTCCTCCTACCTTGGCACTGCAACACCCACACCACCTTACCTGGGTCCCAGCACCTTGTTAGGAAGCTACCCGCTCAGTTCAGAACCAGTTCAGACCACACTCGGCCATGGAAGCCCCAGTAAACAGATCCAGACCAACATCATTGGCTCTACTAACAACCCCGTCCTCCAGCAGCGCCCCAGTAGTAATCAGGAAGTTCCCGCCATGAGCCAGCAGACATCACCAGCTAATGGCTTTGAAGTGGGCGTGTCGGGTCTCAGTGGCAGTCCCGTCCTCGGTCATTGTCCATCTCAGGGAGCGCAGAGCAGTCCAGTCCTCAACAGGCAGGCTGCTATGGGGCCAGGGTCCCAACAGAGCCCAGTCCTCAGCAGACAGCCGTCCCTCGGTCAGCCTATTCAGAGCAGCCCTGTGCTCAGCCGACAGCCATCGATCACACAGGCTCAAGGAAGTCCGGTGTTGGGCCGTCACCCCTCCATTTCTCAGATGTCCCAGAGAAGCCCCAGTTTAGACCGTCACCCCATGCACAGTGGTTACACGACACCAGATGAACGACACGGGAACCTGTCACGACAGAGCAGTTCTTCGGGCTACCAGGGACCACCAACTCCCTCATTCCCCATCTCACCTGCAGGCTACCAAGATGGAGGGATGATGGGGATGGGTTTAGGGTTCAGGCAGGGCAGTCCAGCCCCTGGATTTCAGCCCCAGCTTCCAGAGAAGAGGCGCATGTCAAGCGGCGATAGACCAAACGGAGCGCTGTCCTATGGCACGATGAACGGGAAGATGATGCCCACAATGAGTGGAGGAGGCAATCCCAGCTACTTCCACACACTTTCTGACTTTTCAAGGTTCACTATGACTGGTAAGTACATACAATTTATGGATTCTTAAGGGGTTCATTCCATAAACTGTATATAGAAGTGCGATGGAAAAGTTTCCAGACTCTGACCAGAAAAATGAAAATTACAAACCGGATTTAAACTGATCAACTGTCAACTGTGCAAAATTAGGATCCGAGGTAATATGTCAGTAAACTATGGATTTGCTTGCTTGATCTTGCTGGCAAGCTAGCCAGCTAACTCTAGAATTAAACAATTAGTACAGTTTGGCACCACTATGGTGAAGTCAGGGTTTCAAAAACAGCAGTCCACAAATCAGCATTGATGTTTTGTTTTTTTTAAATGAGTTTCGAGTGTTTGGGGTGACATCCGTTTTATATCTTGGCCGATCCAGTTCACAGTCAAGGCAAAGAGGATATATTTTTGTGATTTCCTGTTACATCTTTGGATTTTTGTTGCAGATGGAAGCCCCGACAGCAGGCTGAACGTCAAGTTTGTTCAAGACACGTCCAAGTTCTGGTACAAACCTGACATTTCCAGAGAGCAAGGTAGGAAGTCAAAAGACCTCATTTATTATATTAATCAAATATAGATCCATCCAAGTGGGTGGATTTATGTCATACTTTTAAACATTTAGACAAACATTAAGGAACAGAAGCAGCTGTCATCATTAGCAGCGTAACATATCAGCTGTGTTGTGAGCAGTACTTTTGCAAACGTTATTGTGGTGAACATACAGAGCATATTATAGAAATGACTTGGGCTGCATGGTTTAATTGAGTATTACTCTGAATCCTTTGAGTTGCACTAAAAGGAGTCTTTGTTGAAACTCAAGTCATTGTTCTGAATGTCAGTGATGTAAGTCACTGGACCCGGCAACGTCATCTCTTTTGATAAATGCACGTACACATGTGCACAATACTGACGATGCATGCAGCAGCATACACAAAACATTTCTGTCCTCGTGTGTTTTAGCTGTGAGGTCAGCAGCTAGTGACTGGCCTGTAATGGATTATATCATGTTAAACATAAGCATATGCTCAACTGCGATGACATCAGACACACGGAGAGTTTATACTTAGTGCAGTGCACTCCCAGAAAGAAAGCCACACCATATGCAGAGAATTAGGGAACATCTGCATGTGTTGCTCATCTCATCCATCTTCCTTGCTTAAACTGTCACATGTGGACAGGCCTGGGCATTGAACTAAACAGTGAAGTTAAAGCTCTAAAGCTCCTCTCTGTGAACAATGGAGTGTCTAAAGCAAAGTGTCATGTTAGAAGTTGTAGTTCTAATAAAGTGCAGACCAACGGCAGTTTTTTTTTTTTAAACAAAGGGTCAGGACTCATTTCATCCTACTCTTACTCATGCTTCACTTTTGAGTTCATGCCACCTTCTTCCTTGGCTTACCTTCATTCTTTAATGACTTTTCCGACCTCCAAATTCCATCACCTAAATTTAGCTGGTGGAATAATAAAGAGGTTTTTCATTGTGGACAAATTGTCCAGTTTTTCTTTCCCTCAAATGCATTTCTTTTTGTTAAGTACTTATTGTAACAAATAAAGCTTCTAACCATAATTGTGTAACATGTGGTTTGTATACTGTAGTATGCAGTTTCTCCATGTTTTAACAACAACCTGCCAGGGGCCTGCACATCGACAATGTAATCTAATACTGAGCTTTGTTACAACTTATGGACATAACACAGAGGAAAGTGCATGTAATAGATAAATAACAAGACTAATGCCAGGTTCACTTAGTTCTGTATGACATTTAGGACTTTAAGATGGTCACCGTGTGGTATGAGGTGACTGTAGGCTCAAAGATTCTTGCCGACTTTGGCCAGGATACATACATTTCTACATAAACACAGAGCAGATCTGGCTTTGCTGCCTTTTGCCCCTATTTGATATAATCAGGAAGGAGGTGCCAGAGAATTACAACTAAAGACAAGAATTTAAACAAACACTAGATCATACTAAGAGGACAGATCTGGACTGCTTGTCCTTTGGCCGATGTATCACTTCATGCATTACACTGTACCCAAGACTACTAGCTTTTTCTCTCTTATCCATTATAGCCTAAATCTTTGGATTGGTGCTGCTTTACATCTTTGTTGTGTCATCTGAACCCAGCAAAAGTAAAGAGCGACTGTTATTTCATCTGTGAGGCCATAATGAGGCACAGGCGAGTCGTTCTGTGGGCTGCTAGCAACAGCATGCTATCAGAAACGGACGGCCGAGGAGTTTTTACATTCGAGTTTTGGTTGTTGAGAAAGGCACAAATGAAATGTGGCTTGTTGATGATGTCAGATTAACAGTCAATAGATGTTAAGATAACCTTTATTAGTCCCACACATGGGAAATTTGTTTAAAGATTTGTTAAAAGATCCTAATTTATCTTGAGGTGAGTGTTGGAACATCAATCCATCTAAGTCGGTCCATAAACCGACTCAGCAGTAGCATGTAGGTTATTGTATCACCTCCCAGATTCCTGATGTTCTAAAGTAACTCAATGTTCTCTGTATTCCAGCCATCAGCCTGCTGAAGGACAGGGAGCCCGGAGCCTTTGTTATCCGGGACAGTCACTCCTTCAAAGGAGCTTATGGCCTAGCCATGAAGGTGGCGTCTCCTCCACCCACTGTGCATCCGAACAAGAAAGGTAGGGGGAGGACGGTGGGCAGTACATCAAAGCAGTTACAAATGTGCCAAATATTCAGTACACACACTACTTCTGTGTTTAGTGCAGCCCTTCTTGTTTTGTTGAAGGCAGCATGAATGTTAGTACCTTAATACCAAAGATATGAGGCGATGTCTGAATGTGATTCAGCTGGTGCATTACCCGCCTGGACTCACGCACTGCTTGGCTCTTTTGTTGCAGGTGACATCACCAATGAACTGGTGAGGCATTTCCTGATCGAGAGCAGCCCTAAAGGAGTGAAGCTGAAAGGTTGCCCCAACGAGCCTTACTTTGGTTAGTGGAAGCACTCTTGCTGCTGTCTTTCATTTCTAAAACATACACTAACAGCTTAGCAGTGACATAACGAGTCTGTAGGAAATGTCAAGCACGAGCGCTTTCTCTCTTTTGTGTGTCAGTTGAAAATTTGAGCCCCTTTCCAAGTTTGAAAACGTCTAATCCTGCTGTAATTATAGTATTGAGTGACGTGATCTCTCTCGTGTTCTCCCTACTAATTACACTACACGGCTGTGTGTGCGTGCGCGTCTGCATGCACTAAAGGGGCAGACCAACTTCTGTGAACTTTTGCCTTCGCGCTCCTCGTTTCTTCTCTTCCACTCTTGTCTTCAGCTTGTAACTCACTTTATCGCTCTTATTCTTTAGTGGAGTTTTTGCTTGTATTTCTTTAATTTCAACTAACACAAAAGCACAAAACTTGTTTTTCCTGTCATCTTTTTTTTTTTTTTTAATTTACTTCAGTATGACATTACAGCCAACAATGAACAATTAAACCAGAGTCCTTTGAATCCCTCTTTCAGAGCTCGTGAAGTTTATCCATAATCCTCCACCATTTAAAAGTAACATTAATACCTCCAATTAAAAGATTCAGCTGTCATTGTGTAAGAAGTCAGGCGTACTACAGATTTAGTTAACGAGGGATCCATTATGATTAATTTAAAATCTAAATGTGTATTCTTCGACACTAATAGAGTAGTTTTCAGTAATCCTTGGCCATGATGCAGCCCCTCAGTTCATACACTCCCTAAAAGAAGCCTTTTAACTCCCTTCACCTCCCTTTAAGTTAGCTTTCATCAGATTGCCTGCCCAATGGAAACAGAAGGTTTGAAAAGCAGCTAAACAGGGCTTATCTATTGTAGAAAACCTACAAGAAAAAGTCACTATAAGAGTCAAAAGCTCATGCTTCAGACTGGTCAAAATGCTCAGGGGGGGATTACCTGCACATACCTCTTTATTTATAATTTTAATATGGGTCACCATAATAAAAACCTAATGTCAGCAATCTTGTTAAACAATTAACCAGCTACAGGTCATCTATACCACGTGTCAAGATGGTCGTTATAACTGAAGAAAGCAACACTCCCAAACTGGAACCAGCTCCCAGTTTGGATTCAGGAGACAGATTCTCTCTCTACTTTTAAGATTAGGCTTAAAATGTTCCTTTTGATAAAGCATAGAGTTAGGGCTGGATCAGATGACGTTGAACCCTCCCTTAGTCACGCTGCAATAGGCTTAGGCTGCTGGGGGGCTTCCCATGATGCACTGCAGTGTTTCTTCACCTCTCTGCATTAAATCATTAGTTCTTATTGATCTCTGCCTCTCTTCCACCTGTCTTCCCCCCATCACTTTTCAACCCAGTTCTGAGGTTTCTTCCTGTTAAAAGGGAGTTTTTCTCTTCCCACTGTCAACAAGTGTTTCCTCTAAGGGGGTCATTTGATTGTTGGGGTTTTTGTTCCATTGTTGTAGTTCTTTACCTTGCAATATAAAGCACCCTGGGCTGACTGTTGTTGTGATTTGGCACTCTAAGAAGAAAACTACCAAGCGGCAGAATTGATCCAGTTATATGAGAAAAAAAAAATCCACAAACTTTCTCATGGCAACTCAAAACTCCCTTTAAGTAAAGCTGAACATTTATAAAAACTTGTTTCTCTTTGACAGGTTGCCTGTCTGCATTGGTCTACCAACATGCTATAACACCACTGGCCCTCCCATGCAAACTAGTCATCCCCACCACAGGTATGTGCAATAAGTGTTCTGTGTAACATGTATTCCATTTAAAAGTGTTTCTGTCTTACTCTTAAGCAAATCTTTACAGTTAAAAAATAAATATTTTAAAAAAAAACTGAAAATCTGACCCTTGATGGAGTCCTCATCCCAAAACGGTAAACTTTAAACTTTCTCTCCTGTAAATCAGAGCTCACTGAGGAAGTACCAGAGGTCACAACAGCAAACCCGATGGCTGAAAGGCTGAAACAAGGAGCAGGTAAAACCTCCTCCTCAGTATTAAAAGTCATTAGGCTATTTAAGTTTAACATTCCAAGACAGTCAGCCAAGTTTTGAGGTTCTTGGACATAATTGTCAGCGTCATTAGTGTGTTTTGTCACTCATTCTGACAACGTGACGTTCTTGTTGTCCCAGTGCTGAGGGCCCCTGCTGACTCCCATGGTAAACCCAGTGCACTTTCATTTGGAAACCTACAACTGGAATGTGCATCGTGTCTGTGTGTTGTCTGTCCGTGTATGCTCCACAAATGAAGACGAATAAATAACAGTCCTGTGTGACAGATTTCCCCAGAACATGTCTTTTAACACTAGCGTCCAGCTTGCGCTCCATAACAGACAGAATGTTTTATGTGGAATGATCTGTTTGGTTTCTAAAACCCCAGCCTTGTTGCAGAAAGCATGCACTCTAATGAGGACAATGTCAACATTATTGCATGAACAGATTGTTCACGATTGGGTTTGACACCATTTATCCAGCTGGGATGTCTGCTCTCTTTACAGCATGCAATGTTCTCTACATCAACTCAGTGGAGATGGAATCACTGACAGGGCCTCAGGCTGTCGCTAAGGCCATATCTGAGACACTGGCTGCTGCTTCTCCACCTACTGCCACCATTGTGCACTTCAAGGTGTCCTCACAAGGCATCACACTCACTGACAACCAGAGGAAGTAAGTCTAAACCACACCTGTCCCATCTTAAACATGAGGTGTTTGATGTCTCACAAGTGTAGACGTTGCATGTCATATGTTGTCGCAGACATATTTTTGACGAGCCTTTGACATCTCAGCGTATTTTAAGATATAAACATGTCTTTAAAGGGCTGGAATTAATGAATATGAGCAACTGAACACAATCACAAAACAATAGAGAAAATTAAAGTATTAGAATTTTTATACACTATATTATTAACTATTTCACAGCTTTCCCTATTATTACATCTGCATATCATCATTACATTTGGGTGCTGAGCTTTGGAAGGGTGTTAGAGAACAGTGAAGCAGACGTACTGGCCTGTTGTAGAAAGATAGAGCTAAGCCAGAAGACCAAGGTTTTGACTACCCAGTGGCTCTATGTCCCAGTCATCAATGATGGTCACGAGCTCTGGGTAGTGACAGAAAGAATGACACTGCTGATACAAGCGACCAAAATGAGTTTCCTTTGTTGAGTGGCTGTGCTCACCCTTAGAGATACTGTGAGGAGCACAGTGTCAAAAGTGTGTCAAAAGGGGCTAGCTGAGGTGATCTGAGCGTCTTAACAAGATGTATCCTGGATACCTCCCTTTTGAGGTTTTTAGGGCACACCCAGCTGGGACAGGAGCCCACAGTAGAATTTGTTGGAACGATTATATATCTCAACATTCCCTGGGAGGAGATGGAAAAAGATCTTGGGGAGAAAGGAAGTCTTACTCTCCTTTAGCCTGTGGCCATACCAAAAGCACTTTAGATAAGCAGAAGAAAAAGGGTGGACATGTGCATCATATGTTTCAGCTTTTATTTATGTAGTGGTAGTTCACAGCAGCAGTTTTCTCAAAGCAACCCTAAACTCCAACTTTGTGATCAAGCACTTGGTGACGGCAGAGAAGAAGAACTCATTTTTAACAGGAAGAGTGATTTTAAGCATTCAAGTTCACTACTCGAATGCTTGAAAACATGAACTTTGAGCATTATCATAGAAGCTCAGCTTCCACAAGTTTTACATTAATGTTTTTAAATGCACGGCTGTCAGGAAAAGCATGCTAGCATTGACAAAGAGAGATAGCTTACTGGTACTGATGGAATGAACAATTTAGAACCGGTCTGATGTGTAGTGATACACGAGAAAAAGTAGAGCCCTTGCATAACTGGCACAGTCTGAGTTTAACCTCCTAAGACCCGAACTCTTCCACGACATGCATTTTTTATTTCTCTTTGATATTTGGGCTGATTGGGGCCTGATGAATGTAAAAACAAAGAATTACCAGATTTTTTTTTAACCTTATTTTGTTTTTAAGAAAAATAAGAGCCACATATGAGGATATTCGTTTAAAATTTTGATAGAACAGTAGCAGTATAATGTCCTCGTAAGTGGATATCAGAACCTTGTAGAGCAAAATTGAGTATTTTAGTCTAAATAACCCAAAATGTGATGTCCACATATGTGGACGCCAGGTCCTAGGAGGTTAAAGTTCATATTGACCAAATCAGTCTAAATCAGTCTAAATCATCAATGGTTGCTCTGTTTAAAAGCTGTATAAAAGTATATGACATGCAACTCCACAGAATGGACATTTCAATTTTTAAGTTTTGTGTCATTTACATCTTTTTTAGGCTTTTCTTCCGACGCCATTACCCAACCAACACTGTCACGTTCTGTGATATAGACCCTCAGGACAGAAAGTGAGTACAGAGAGCCATTAAAATACTTAGAACAATATTAGCGACTTGTTTTCAGTTCCTCAAGTGTGTTTAAAGCCCGTGATTTCAGCTAGTCCAAGTAGCACATTGGTTTTGTTTAGTTAAGACCTTAAACAAAATACTTTTAAATCATTTCAGATGGAACAAGCCTGAGGGAGGAACAGCCAAGTAAGTAAACTTTCCTTTCAGTCAACATTTGATACTTGAAAACACTCTTTTTAAGAGACTGACCGATGCTGATATTTAGTTGCTGTCAGACGCACCCATAACAGTTGCTTCGTGTAGTAATTTGAGTCCTTACTAAGATGATATGGCGTTGAAGTTTGAAAAGAAACAGTTTGTTTTACTCTTCCAACCTGCTGATTATTCGTTCACACTCTGCTTGTGTTTGTAGTCTTTCAAACACATTGCAAACAGAGAAGTTACACAGTGCCCTCTGGTGGATTGTGTAACATCAACACAATGGTCGGTGTTACTTCCATCTCTTCCTTCCTTTTTAAACTTTGATTAGTTGGCTGTTACAACCACGTAACGATATATCATCAAAGATACTATCCGCTGTTATGTCAGTGAGGCTCTAATGTGAACTACTTAAAAGGTAATTTTTGTAATAACGCTCTGGTAACTGGTAAAAACCTCACCTCCATGGGAAGCAGGAACAAACATTTTCAGTTTCACTTAGTACTTTGTACTAAGGGTACTATTGGTATTATAATGAAGTACATCCTGGCAATAGTTCAGGTAATGTATTTTCAAAAACGACTTCCTGTCGATGGCTTCAGTTCGGAAGAGATTAAACTAAATAAACAAAACCAAACACACATTTACAAAAATACCTTCAAGTGTCTGTAAATCTGCTTTAAGTCGTTGATGAATGAAAATGGCAGCCCTAATGACGAAATCTCCAATATTGATGTTTCAGGCTGTTCGGGTTTGTGGCGCGTAAGCAGGGAAGCACAACAGACAACGTCAGCCACCTCTTCGCCGAGCTGGACCCTGACCAACCTGCCAGCGCCATCGTCAACTTCGTCTCGAAGATGATCACCTCGCAGAAACGATGAGCGCTGTCAGCAAAAACCCCTCACGCTTTTTTTCAAAATAACTTTGGTTATTTTCCTTCCTTTTCTTTTAAACCTCACAGACGCTCTCGGCTTTCAGTTTTACGTATCGCTTCATTTTTCCTGCTCTTTCACATTTAAGCCAACGCGTGTGTAGTTGTGAAAGAATGAGTGCGCGTGTGTGTTGAGAGTGTGTTCGTGTGTGCGCGGCTTGCATGCGTTTGCTTATAATCTTGGATGGACTCCAGAATGGACCAGAGGAAGTGCAGGATGAGGCGTGGCTGTGTGTGACAATGGGCAAGGGAGGCGACTTTAACCTCCCGGGCAGGGTTAACTCATGAACAGGAAGAGGGAATGACATTGTGTGCAAATGTTATTTTTTTAGCAACTGTTTCTTTTTTTGTTTTTTAAAAAAAAAAGAAGAAGTCAAGTAGTGTGATGTAAAAGGTGGATTGTGAATCTATCAGGCTTTTTTGACTGGTCAACCAAAGATTTTAAAAAAGCAGTCAGGGCGGGTATAGCGTGCCACTGACTATGAGGGTCGGAAGTATTCTTTTGTAAAACAAATATGGCTGCTTAAACAAAAAATACTGTTTCTTTCTGTATGTACTGATACTGTAGGTCAATTCTGCACCGTTGCCATCTTGCAAAAAAAGAAAAAAAAAGATTTTTTGCAGCTGGTAAGGGATGTGTAAATACTCTAGATTGCTTTTTTTGAGTAGGACTGTTCTAGATAACATTTGGTGCCTGACTTTCTTAACTAAATGCAGAGCTTTTAAAGAAAAAAAGAAGAACCTAAAACATATCCACGCCGTCTTAATATATGCAAATAGCCAAAATACCACAGGTCCTTCCCTGTTCGTAGTGTAGCTAAAGATGCGACTGATGTGCAGCTTGAGCCTGAAGAGATCAGCTGAACCTTGCATTCAGTGAGACCACAGAAAAAATATTATAGAACAGGCCACTGAATCACTGCATCCACAAGGCATTGATCGTATCAGAGAAGCGTGGAGGAGGAGGGTTTGCTTCCCGTCTGCCACCATCCTCTGTTCACCCTGTTCATGATTGAAGGGCCGAGGGCAGTTTTTTTGAGGACGATCTTTATTTTAAAGAAAAAAGATTTAGTCCTCCAAATCTGCTCTGCACTTTTCTCTGCTCAAAGTTTCCATCGATGAAAGAAGCTCTCACCCTACCCAAAAGTAAGCTATACATATAAATATACATATATAGATATAAATATATATATATATAAACTTCCAAACAGTGACTTAAGATATTTATTTTTGTTGCTTTGTTGCTCTATATTATCTTGTATACATGTATTATAAAGTATACATCAAGATTACTGAAAGCAAGAAGAAAAGATTGCTTTTATTTTGGCTAAAGTCAAGTGCATTGACGCATATAAAGGTGTAAAGTGTGTGCATTTTAAAAGGGGTATCACTGTTGTTTTTAAATGTTTTTTTCACAGCATTATTTTCTTTTGTTAACATTCTTGTTGTTTTCTTGGGGGAAATATTTTGTATGAAAAATGGTTGTTACTAAAGTCCAAATTGGAGTTATCCTAAAGTGATGCCAACGCCGCTGTTTTATTAACTTAAAACCTGCCGAGAAAATACGTTGTCCAAGTTTAGAGCACTTAAAATGTTAAAGTATTATCCGTGTTTTTGTTGTCAACCGAGTGGAGGGGAGCTGTTGACAGACCTGTGTCATGTCCCTGCGTGTATTCAGGCAGACTATCGGGGGTCCTTACTTTCACACTGCCTCACAGTAGGTCTGAGGCTTTTAACAGCAAAACCAAGTCAGTTTAGTAAGTAGCTGCTTCCCCCGTGTGGCGCAAAAGGATCACTACAAAGGAGCCACTTTTAATTTAATACAGCGTTTTAGCTGTGAAATATTGAGTTAACACAATTTGATCACTGACAAAACTTAAATGATTTTGTAGTTTTCTTGACAAACAAAATTATTTTGCTTTTTCAATTTTAATTAAAGGAATGAACGGCAATGAAAACTCCCACCTATGGCAGCATGATGCAACATAAGTAAGGGTTAGTTTGGGGGCCTATTTGGACTCAAACCTACGTCTCCAAAAAGGAAAAAAGCAACGGAGCCCTTCCAGGAGTTTTATACCTGACTAGAATGTTCCATTATTTATTAGCAGGAGCTTGCATGCTCGACTCAAATTGTAACCGTCGGCCTGTTGACTAATCTGTGCACAGCATCTTCATGACTCATTTAAACCAGCCTTTCCGCAGAGAAGCCCATAGGAAGATATCAGTGCGAGTTTCACGTGACGACTGCCTCTTGGCTCAGCTTATAAGACAAATAAGCTTTTTTGCCTACAAACTCCTTCTTGAGGGGAAAAAAAAGATAAAAGACTTCCTAACCATGAAACTGAATGTCAGTCATTTGTTTGCCAAGATGGACACTCCAGTGGCGTCTGGACCCAAGAATGTGTGTGAATGAGCTACTATTCCTGTATAGAGCTTTGTCATGTTGTTTTGGTTTGCTACATTGTATGGCTTTTACTATTTCTGATGGAAAAAAAACCACATTAAAAAGCAGTACAAATCAAAACCGCCTAAGTTTGTTCTTTCACTAAACAGGCAGGTTGGCTTTGTTGTGCAGAAACTGAAGATTTAAGGTTAATTTAGCATAAAATATTACAACATTGCATTTAACATTTTTAAACTGATGGGTGGATGAGGAGTAAGGTTAGTGAATCGGGAAGTGTAGAGGATGAGTAAAGACAGGACAGCTATGAAGAGCAGAAAGGCTCAGATGAGATTCCCATGGAGATATAGAGATGTCTACGAGAGAAGGCTTTTTAAATCAGATTGTTTAACACAGTCTTGTGTAGAGTGACACGATGCTTGAGAAATGGAGAAGTGTACAGGTTCTGATTTTCAAGAATAAAGGTGATCTGCAGAGCTGTGGTAACGACACGGATAGAAGCTGATAACTATACAATAAAGATGTTAGAATGAGTTGTTTGGTTAAGAAGAGTGGTGATGATCAGTGAGCAGCAGTGAAACTCTAAATTAAGAAATGAAATGGCTTTACAGATGTGACGTTTGAGAGCGTTGATGGAGTACAGAGGAGGTCAGAATGAGTTTCACTGAAAGCGTCTGATAGTGTGCCAAGACAGGAACTGTGGTGCTGCATGAGGAAGTCGGGGTGGCTGAGAAATATATGCAGGACATGGTAAATGGACTGATTCTTATATAGCTTTTCTACTCTCCCGGAGTACTCAAAGCGCTCTATAACATGCCTCATTCACCCATTCACACCCACTCATACAAGCACTTCCTTCTATACTTAAGTACAATCTAAGCATTCACACACATTCACACTCCAATGGAGTCGCGGAGTGTGAATGTGTACTAACCCCAAGCAACTTGGGGTTAGTATCTTGCCCAAGGATACTTGGCATGCAGACTGGGGAAGCCAAGGATCGAACCACCAACCTTCCAGTCACTAGCTCATCTGCTCTACCACCTGAGCCACAGCCACCCCACAGCCAGCGTTGGTGAGGTGTGCGGCAGGGGTCACATCTCTGGAGAAAAGAGGAATGACAATCAGTAGAAGTAAGAAAGAATACATGTGTGTGAGTGAGAGGGAGACGGGTGGAAACATGAAGGTGCAAAGAGCAGAGGGAGTGAAGGTGGAGGAGGTTCAGTTGCCTGGGGTCAACCATCGAAAGCCACAGAGAGGTGAAGGAGAGAGTGCAGGCAGGATGGAGTGGGTGGAGACAAGTGTCAGGGGTGGTTTGTGAAAGAAGGATAGCGGCAAAAATAAAATAAAAAAAGGTTTACAAGATGGTAGTAAGACCTGCTCTGATGTACGCATTGGAGACTGTGGCACTGACAAAAGACAGGAGGGCTGAGCTGACAGAAGATTTTCACTGGGAGTGACCAGGATGAACCAAGATGTCGAGCAGTTTGAAAAGAGACAAGGCTGCTATAGTCTGGATACATGCAGAGGGAGTGTGGGCGTACTGAACAAAGCTGTGGAATATGGAGACCACAAAGAAGATTCATGGATGTAGTGAAGGAGAACATGCAGAGCGCTGGTGTGACAGAGTGGGATGATGGGGCTTAGGGGGGGATAAAGGGAGGAGTCTTGTTGTTATTGAAGGATTGTTCATATGAAATTTGAGAGGATGTAAAGAATGTCTGTAAAGTCAGACCCTTGCAATAAAACAGGTTTATTTATCCTCCTGGTTGGATAACTTTAAAGTGAGACATGTTCGGCTCGACGTGCAAAGATGTGGTTCTGATCTGTGCACATTTACACTTTATTGTTTGCTTTCATGATGCATAGGACGGTTTTTATTTTTTGGAGTACACAAATCACACCCATAGATGCATCCCTCATCTTTTCAGAACACTTTCTTGACCTTGAGGGGAAAAAGGAAACAACGTGAAGAAGAATGTGAAAAGACCACAGGGCAATGCAGATTACACAGAAGGACTCTGGCACTTATGTGAAGCAATGAATATAGATGCTCCAGTAGTACAAGTTGCTGCAAGGTACTGCAGCAACTTGAGCTTTGAAGCATCTGTTGTACGCTGTAAAAAGATGTATTGTAACTGAATATGTGATGTAACTGAATAACATAACCGAGTAACTTGTGAAAAATTTAAGTGAAGAGTGATTTAAAGAGAAAAAAAAAAAAAGGTCCAAAAGCCTGGCCTCAAACTCACGCCACACAAGTCCATTGTTTTAAGACTGAAACGCTGCTTTAATATTTCTATTTAACAAGGGCGACAACCGCCACTGAATGATTTGAAATCCGCCTGTTAGCAGGTCTGGGATTGATAAGAGCTGATAACAGCCATTTAGCCAGTTGATATCAATGGAGAGGACACACCCATGTACATAAGGTCTCACAGTTCACATTGCCTAAAACTGAAAGCACTGCTCATAACAGACCTGTTGTTACAAACTATCCTTTAAAGGACAACGTGAGCGTGCCAAAGAAAACAAAAAAAAAAACCCCAAACAAACAGCACTTTAGACCAAATTATACTGTGGTGAAAACCAGACACTGCTTCTCACCAACTGATGCTACAGTGAGGATACTTCGAAGTTGCAAAGTGTGGAAAGTTAAGCCAACTCAGAAATGCCAAAACTGCAGTTCTGCTCATTTCCACTTCAGTCTGCCTCGTGTCAATCTCTATAGTCTGTCATGTTAAAATGCTCAAATAAATGACACTGGTTCTGTGATGAGAAGATAGATTAATAACAGATGTATTATCTTACGGGAGCACAACTGGCCTTATCTGTTGCTTCCAAGACTCTAATCGGGGCTGCAAACAGACGAAAGCGTGTCCGTCTCCCTGTGAGGTGGACAGTAACCAGTTACAGGAAAATGAACAATCCTATATAGACTGTGTCAGGGTGCTATGACATATATCCACACAACCAAAGCAATGTACAACCACATTTTACACAGGTATGTGGACAATAGCCTGCAGAAACTAAGACTACTGGTGCTAGCACTGCTAACATTAGCCATACTGAATAAAACTAATTTGACACTCAGCGAAATTTGAAACAATCAAATTGCTTCATATAAGATCATGTCCATTGTTTAATTTTGCCTTTAGACTTTTGGACTAGTCTTAGACTTCAAAATGTCTAAAATCAATGTGTGGTATTATGGTGGCCGCGCTCATCTTTTGAATAAATTACAGCTTATGGCTGCTTCACAGTGGCAAAGGCAGAGATACTCTTCAAAACAGAAGGAAGACTGAAAGCAGGCAAATACAGCTAAGATCAACAGCTAAGACAAAGATGTGCATTACATCTTGATGCATTCTCAATCATCCAGGAAAGTAAATCTCCAAAAGTTGATTCTGTTCATCTGGACGTAGCGTTTTGTGGGAGAAACGTTTCGTCACTCATCCAAGTGACTTCTTCAGTCTCACCTGACTGCAGGTTTCCCCAAAACATATAAACAGTACATTTGCATAATGACTAAAACCAGCCCACTGAAGGAGCAATGGGCTGGGAGGTCAGTTCCTTAATCATAATTATGCAAATTCTCATGACGATTGATCAACAACCACTGACCAAAACCCACTGACCAAAGACCACTGATCAATGGCCATGAGTACCATTCACAGAGAGTTGGGGAATGGCTGCAATCACAGCATTGTAAGATGGTGAAAGATGAACCCTTAGGCCCCCTCCTCGATTCAGAGATGGTCTTTCCCTTTTCACGTAAATGGCCTCCTTGACTCCGCGCT